AAACTTTTTTTTTTTATTCTTGTTTATTATATAAAGAAACCTCTTACTAAAATGATTAAAAAAAGAATAATCATTTTTAGATTCTAATAAATGCCGCGGCTTTAGCAAGTTCTCATTCATGGTGATCTACCAATATTGTTTAAGAAAATTATTCCCTGACGAATAAATTTAAACTGTGCCATTTTTTTTTCTCCAACTTATTGTTATATTATTGTTATCCTTTCTATCTTCGTGTTTAGATTGTGGATATGCTTTTGAAGACGCGGTCTCATGGATTCACTGCCTGGGTAAATCTACGCCTTTCACAACTTGGACAGCCTCTCCTGAAAAATGTCTTCACTCCTTTACTGAACGGTATCGACATGATAAAGCTCCTTAGCAGTTTCACAGGAGCCGCCCACCATACTTGGGAAACTTTAGATGGGTAATTACGAAATTCATATATTTGTTCTTTGTTGTTATTTTGGGTAATTTTCTTTAGGAGTTTTTTGCGTTTAGAAGTATTTTGCGTTTAGGAGTATTTTGCATTTAGGAGTTATCGACAATAAACTTTAGGACTCATTCGCGTTACGGCACGGCAGCCATTACTGGCGTTGTTTGCGTACATTCCCTGCTGAATAGATTTGCTCCGAAGATTACATTGTTAACGGCATTTTTACGGTTCTTGATTCAATTGCCATGCAACGGAGGATGTTAACCATGTTTGGCGTAGTCTCTGAATATGGAATCCAGTGAAGTCCGTAATGTGTTCAATATCAGAGGTTGGCAGTGAAGATTCGGAGAAAGTAGCAGCTGTTAAGTAATTCTTTAAGTCTTCGATATCAGAGGTTGGCAGTGAAGATATTTTGGGAGAAAAAACAAAATGACTGCCTTTATACACGTCGGGTTGAATATTTTGAGCTTTCTGATTGGTTAACCCTTCTCTTGGTGGACTATAAAATGAGACAGCTCATTTTGGTTGGCTCACTAGTACATAGATATATCCAAAAAAATACTGTAACAGAGGACTCATTGCGTGCGCAATAATCAAGACTGTGCTGTAGCAAATATATGCAAACAACGCCTGTAATGGCTGCCGCGACGCGAATGAGTCCGAACTTCAATTGTCGATAACTCCAAAACGGTATATTTTTATCAAAATTTCTTTATTTGCGAATTAAGCATATGCATTTACACCTAAATGAAAGTCATAATCACCCTAATCATACAGGAATCTCATAATTCAGATTGGGCTTCTTGCTCACATCTAAAATCGCTAAATGGAACGCCGCGGTCGTGAGTGTAAGTGAGAACTTTGCAGAATGTTTTGAAAAGTGTAAGGGTCATTGAAACTTGCGGGCAAAGTGCAAAGAGAAGAATTTTAAAATGGACGAATCCGTCATTACACGAGGTAGGTTTCCTTGTTAAAATAAAATGACACAGCATTGTCCGAATAGACTTTGTATTCTATTTATCTACCCGTCACATTTTTTCACATATATTATATATATATATATATATATATATATATATATATATATTTAAAAATTATAACATAAATATGTTATAAAATCAATACAAAAAATAAGCATTGATAAGATACCAGAGGTGTTGAAACAAAATTGCTATTTTTGTAGTGATTTTATAATATATTTATGTTATAATTTTCAAATAAATATTTATATTCGCTCTACTCTGTATTGAGCAATCTTTTAAGAATAGTAATTGTTGGTGATTGGAATTTATTCCCTATACACCAATCATACACTTTTCTATTACTAGGATCCACTTGGATTATACACCAACGGATTTGTTACCTTTACTATATATATATATATATACACACACACACACACACACACACACACATATATATATATATATATATATATATGTGTGTATATATATATACACATATCAGCCTCTTCAGATCTACCTATCTACCCTCTTAATAACTATATATGTTCATAACTAAACATATAATGCCAACCTACTGCGAGAAAAATCTGCCTCGTAAATAATGTATCGAAAGATACATGATCGCCTAAGCGTGTATCACGCATGGCACATAACTGACTGAAATTCACTTACGTGCTAATACCTTTAAATTCATAAATTGCAGGACAGACCGGAATTTATAGCCTTAGATTGCAATTAGTCTACCGCAAAAAGAAATGGCAACCTACTGCGGGAAAAAATCTGACTCGTCAGTTATGTATGAAAAGATCCATAATCGCCTAAGCGTGTATCACGCATGGCACATATCTGACTCCTTTTGTAATTTGCATTTCTCTTTCTAATATTCTGAGCATAAATATCGTATTCCTTGTTCAGTTCACAAATATTTCCATAGATTTATTTACTTCCTGTTTATTCGTTCTTTTTTATAGATACGAATATTTAAGTAAATGCTCTGTTTATAATAAGCAGTATTAACAACATTTACCGGCCTGAATGTCCTAGAAATTTTCATAGAAAATATGCGTCCTCCGACACGAATTGAATCTGTATCCTATACGGAACCGTCATATAGCCTGACGTGCTTTACCGAATTAGCCACAGAGGAGCGTTTCGGTTAGCAACGTCGATTTTACTGTTTTTAAACTACAATTCTTCATGATTTTCTCTCGTACATTCATATCTGTTCGATGCGTATCCAAATGTAAACAAATGACGTCATACATTATGAAATGGACAAAGGCCGATAATTATTTTAAGATATTTATGTTTATACGTTATTTTTTATAGATACAAATATTTAAGTAAATGCTATGTTTATAATAAGCAGCATTAACAACATTTACCGGCCTGAATGTCCGAGAAATTTTCATAGAAAATATGCTTCCTCAGACAGGAATCAAACCTGTATCCTACACAGAACCGTCATATAGCCTGACGTGCTTTACCGATTTAGCCACAGAGGAACGTTTCGGTTAGCGACGTCAATTTTACTGTTTTTAAACTACAATTCTTCATGATTGTCTCTCGTTCATTCATATCTGCTCAAAGCGTATCCAAATGTAAACAAATGACGTCTCACATTATGAAATGGACAAAGTCCGACAATTATTTTAAGACATTTTTTTTTGTTTATATAGAAATTTTCATAGAAAATATGCGTCCTCCGACAGAATATTTTCTATGAAAATTTCTCGGACATTCAGGCCGGTAAATGTTGTTTAATACTGTTTATTATAAACAGAAGTATTTGTATCTATAAAAAAAAGGATGTATAAAGATAAAAAAATGTCTTAAATAATTGTCGGCCTTTGTCCATTTCATAATGTATATCTCCCTGTACATCACTCTGCATACATGTCACCGCCTGTTCATATCTTTCTGTCAGCATTCTACGCAATCACCCGTACTTATTAATTTTGTTCCCTTATTCCAGCCTGGCGTTCGCTCAACAGCAGAATCAAGTTCAAAAATTGATCCGGGAATTAAAGAAAAATGAAATCTTACCGGACCGTACGCTTGTCGACAGCCGCCTATTTGCCATGCGCAACGCAGATCACGTGAGTATGAATTTGAATGCAAGTCACCAAGGATATTAACGATGAAGAAGCGTAAAAAAAAAAGGACAACTCTTTGAATATACGATCGCAGCGAATGTATTTGATAGGTGCTTCGAAATCAAAGGGCGGTGATTTAATCGACAGACATTTACTGCTTCTGTCGAGCCGCTAGAATTTGGTAGAGAGGGAAATGCTGGAAATCATCTCCCGAATCTCTCTGTAATTAGACTAAGTAGAAAAAAAGAACTGTTAAAAAAATAAATAAATAAAACCTCGCAACCCAAAATTTTCAGAGAACTTCGAAGAGCTAAATACGTTCGTCAAAGAAAGTAAAAAAGAAATTCTACCAAACTAATACTTATCTCCTGGAAGAGTGATTGCGAAAGACGTGCAAAATGTCCGTCCGACGATTGATTGATTAATTCGTTTTTTTACGGCATATCAACCTTTTGCAGGTTTTTTTAAAGTCAGATAATATTTTAGCATTTGGTATGAATTTTTTTTTTTTTTTTTTGGTCGGGGGGATAATGTTGTAACCTAGGGAAAGTTACTGACTAGAATAATCAAATAAGGACTGGTAACGAACGATAATACTTAGAACAAGAATACCACATATAAGATTCGCCAGCGGCGCGTAGAAGTATAGTCAACTGCTGTGTGTCAAGTAAATTCCACAATAAATCTCCAACTGCAGGATATCTACCAACCTCCCACGATGTCAGATATGACACAAGGCCGAGTTTAATGTTGGGTATCCGAGCCCGTAGGCTCGGCCAAAAATTCCCCGTAGACCCTGTATAAAACGCGGTCAGGTAGTTGTTCGATATAGCCTCGTATGGTGATCCTCTCTACCCGGAGACAGAGAGTTTAACCAGCACAGATGGAGACGAATCTCTAACTGCCGACCAACATACAGTATTTACTACTGTATGTGAATGGGGACATTCCCATTACCATCCGTAGGTATGCTACAACAGATAATAATGATTTACAAATTTGTAATTAACCCCTAGCAGAGCGAGGTGTGTATTCATGCCTAACTAGGATTTGATGGAGCAATTATGCGGACATAAAGTGGGGGATCAATCCTATATAACAATCGATATATAAACTGGTCCCTCACTTTGTGGCCACGATATTTTCTATACATTTATATTCCAGAGAATGTAAATAAATCTAAAAGACATATATGTGTAGCAAATCAGTTTTTGAAAGATTGATTCGTTTTCTACGGCTTATCAACCCTTTGCAGGTTATTTAAAGCCAGATAATATTTTGGGATTGTAGGAATATTTCTTTTTTTTGGGTGGGAGAGATAATAATGATTTGTTGATACAAGTTTTACTAATTAACCCATATCGGAGGGAGAAGCGGTAGGTTCATGCCTTTCCAAGAGGTAATTTGCGAGTAAGTGAATATAACGAACCCAGCTGGAATTGAAACTCAACCCTCCGATTTCCAATTCAGAGTCGTTATCCATTACTCCAGCCGCACATCCAACCTCACAGCACCTGGTATTCCGAAGCGGTTACCCATCTAGGTACTATCCAAGCGCCACGTTGCTTCACTTCGGTGATCGTACGAGGAGCTGTGTTTCAACGTGATAGGGCCGTAAGCCACACGTCCGACGGGAAACAGGATGAGTTTAAATATGAACAAATTCATCAATAAATAGCTACTAAGACACACACACACACACACACACACACACACACACACACACACACACACACACATATATATATATATATATATATATATATATATATATATTAAAGACATATTTTTATGTTTAACGTTGTTATTTTATAGATACAAGTATTTAAGCAAATGCTCTGTTTATGATAAACAGTATTAAATAACATTTACCGGCCTGAATGTCCGAGAAATTTTCATAGAAAATTTTCGTTCTTTGACAGGATTCGAACCTGCATCCTATACGGAACCGTCATATACGCTGACGTGCCTTTACCGCTTGAGCTACAAAGAACCAATCGGTAGACAAGGTCGAATTTACTGCTTATAAACTCCAACTTTCCATGAATCTCGTACATTCATAACTGCTCTGGCGTATCGAATGTAAACAAATGACGTCATATATTAAGAAATGGACAAGGTCCGACAATTTATTTATTAAAGACATTTTTTTATGTTTAACGTTGTTATTTTATAGATACAAGTATTTAAGCAAATGCTCTGTTTATGATAAACAGTATTAAATAACATTTACCGGTAAATGTTATTTAATGCTTAAAAATAACAACGTTAAACATAAAAATATGTCTTTAATAAATAAATTGTCTGACCTTGTCCATTTCTTAATATATATATATATATATAAAGTCGAGTACATAAGTTGGTCAATAAAACAAAGTCAAACGAAATTACCGGTGTAATCAGTACGAAAAACATTTATTAATATTAACCAGGTGACAAAAATGAAGCACAGAGATTGAAGTTCCAAGTTCGGAATTTTCGAACACGCCTGTGATCTTTCTCAATGAATGCGAGAAATAAACAGAGGCGGGATGGTGGAGACTATCTAACAATGGTTTTTTGATGCTGGGTAGAAACCGGCTCGAGGTGGAATCGCTGTACGAAATCAAGCAAGGAACGGATTTTTTTCTAAAAATTCCACCTACATGCAGACTCTACCCAACCTCAAGAACTAATGTTGATAGTCTCCACCGCTTATTTCTTGCATCCGCTGATGAAGAAAACAGGCGTGTTCGAAAATTCCGAACTTGAAACTTCAATCTCCGTGCTTCATTTTTGTCAACTGCTTAATATTAATAAATGTTTTTCGTACTGTTACATCTTTCGTTTGACTTCGTTTTATTGACCAACATATCTCCTCTACTTTATAAACTATATGGAGCACACGTTAACTTATATATATATATATATATATATATATATATATATATATATATATATATATGTATAGTGCTGTTCAATAAAAGTGACTCACCTGATTTTTTTTTACTAAATATTCTCTTCTCCAATGAAACGAAAGTTGAGCTAAATTCAAAGGAGAAGCGATCTAAAATCCGAAGAAGCTTTGAAAGCTCTTTGAATTTAGCAGTAAGTACTGTCAAGCATCCGTTCAGTATAATGTTCTGGGGATTCTTTTCTTTTCATGGGACTGGTTTCTTAAAACCTATTGAAAAGACCCTCAGGAGCGAGCAGTACAAGAGAATTTTAGAGTCTTGTCTGCCCCCTTCTGCTGAAAGGGTGCAAATCGACACCACCAAGCTCATTTTTATGCAGGATAATTCTCCCTGTCACTAATCAAAAATGGTGTAGGAATACTTTGATGAGAAGCAGGTGAGTGTTATGACATGGCCGCCCCAATCTCCTGACCTCAACCCCATAGAAAACTTATGGAGTATGTTGCTCAACTGCTTTCTCGAGAGCCTGTACTTTATAATATATATATATATATATATATATATATTTTTTTAGGATATTACACATAACTATCAATGCAAGATAAATCTGTTCTCATTCATAATAACGAACAGTGGATAAAAAATTCTGAAGGCCATTTTGATATCACAATGGGATCGTTGGACTCTGCTAGGTCTTCCGACCATGTTGATCTATTTCTTTTATATTATCTAAGTGCACACCGTGAAATTAATATTAAAGATATTGGACTGTATAGGGATGATAGCCTTATGAGTGTCAGGAAGTCTACAAACTTTAAAACTGATAAGATTAGAAAACTAATACATAGAGAATTTAAGTACCTAAATTTGAAAGTTACTGTTAATACAAAATTAAAAAAGGTAAATCTTCTCGATATAACATTAGACTTAATGAATAATATATAGCAGCCTTATAAAGAAAACTAATACTAATCCTTTATACACCCCATGTCAAATCATCCCCCATCTATAATAAAGCATATATCTTCATCTATTGAAAGAAGAATAACTATAGTGGTTATAAATTCCCTGACATTAATTATATAAAAAAAAAATGGTAATAAAAACCAGAGAAGAAATCGAAATAGAAAAATCATTTGGTACCCCCCCCCGACCACATTCAACCAAATGGTTAGTAGTAAGTTGGGACATAAATTTCTTGCTTTAATTGATAAACATTTTTCTAAAAATAATACATTTAGCAAAATTTTTAATAGAAAATACCCTAAAAGTAATTTACAGTTGTACTGAAAATTTAGAAAAAAATATAAAAAAAAACATAATAATATTATTCTAAGAAATAGTGATCCCAAAATTCAGAATAAACATTAGTGAAGAAAAATTATGTAACTGTAGGAATCCTGAAAATTGTCCTTTGAATAATAAATGCCTCGCAGTATCTGTAGTTTACCAATGCGCTATCTCATCTATTGATCATCCAAATATTGTAAAAATCTAGTGTGTGTGTGTGTGTGTGTGTGTGTGTGTGTGTGTGTGTGTGTGTAGAAATTAATAGTAATTCATCGAGTCTAGAGACCCGTTGGAACAGTTGGTATGACGTTTGCCTGATAACGTAACTGTCCCGGTTTCAATTCTCAGTAGTGGATGCACACTGCTGATGAGTCTCAAATATAGGACGAAACGGCCGCCCAGTGTTTTCTGCATTCTGCTGAGTTTTTTTCTAGACTGATGAATTTTTTATATATATATATATATATATATATATATATATATATATATATATATATATATATATATATATATATATATATATAGAAGACCTGATCCCGTTGCCCACATTCTGATTGGGATTCACCGTTATTTTCATGACGCCCCCTTGTACTGACATCTTTAACTTCCTAACTCAAAATTACGCCACTGAGGCTTTTCTTGGGCCAAAGCCGCCATGGACGCTTTTATACTTTCTCGGAAATACCGGATGAAACTTCAATCCGATGCATGGTTCACACCACTATTTCCGGCTATACCAGTACGACGGCTCTCGTCACAATAGGCACCTACTCCTTGCTGTTCGCAATACATTTAAGCGAATCCTCAAAGAAGTAAAATCCCTGTTTGCCGAGAGAATGCATCACAGAATAGCCTCTAATAACTCTCGTGATTACTGGCGGCTGTGTAATCATCAATATGAGGTATTATCATCCTCTGATGATAAAGCTGAATGCGTTGCCTCTAATTTCTCCTCAAACTCTACACTTGACATTAGGAATATCCCTGTTTAAATACCTAGTTAGAACAGAATTTCCGTTGGGTGATATACATATAATCCCTTTCATGGTTTCTGCAATAATTTCTAACCTACATCTTCACAAAGCATATGGACAAGATGGTATCCCTTTAACAGTCATTAAGAAGTATGCTCCCAAACTGGCTCCTGTTCTCTCTAAACTGTATAATAAATGTCTCGCTGCCTCTTGCCTTCTGCTGGAAGTCATCATCTGTTGCTTAGCTTCTTAAGAAACCTGGTGAGCAATCTGATCATTCCCACTAACGACCTATTAGCCTTCGATCTCTTTTTTGGAAACGATTAGAGGCCTTAATCAATGCAGAATTAGTTCATTTCTCATCGCAGGGCTTTTTTCTCAGACAAGCAATATGGCTTTCGTTTCTCCAAGTCGACTGCTGATGTACTAATGATAATTGCGAAAAGAGTCTATCTTGCTCTAGATAAAATCAGTGATGCCCGGGGTGTAGCATTGAACTTCTCGAAAGCCTTTGACAGTGTCTGGCATTCAGGTCGTCTCCACAAGCTGAAAAATTACGGCTTCCTTTGAACACTTTTTTGAACTGATCCAGTCTTTCCTATCAAATCGTGAAATATTTTCTGGCTTTAAATAACCTGCACAGGGTTGATAAGCCGTAGAAAATGTAACAATCAGACACTGATTTGCAACACGGGCATGTCTTTTAGATTTATTTACCTAATTTTGAATATAAATATATCTAAATTACCTTGCCCACAAAGTGATAGATCAGCTTATATATTCATTGGATATAGAATTGATCCCCCGCTTTATATCCACATTATATTTTCTGGATTGGTACTCAAATGCTTATTAGTTATAAATATACCCCAGCTATGGGTTAATTAGTAAAACTTGTATCACTAAACCATTATTATCCCAACAAAAATATATTCTTACAATGCCAAAATATTATTTGGCTTTAAATAACCGTATAAGTCGTAAAAAGCGAATCAAATACAGTTGTTTTATATTCTATAATTTTCACAGAAAATGAATACGATATTAATTGCTATTGTCTGAGATTTTGGTGTAATTTGAGAAGATAATACAAAAGTTATGGATGATTTAGTGATTTAGTGCAAAACCCATGGCGGCCAAAATGATCAGAACGGTTGCTTTTACTCCGTGTTTTAGTATATTTAACCGGTGAACTCTATTTTTTTTAATCTGTTTACACGACGGTTCGTTTACTAAACATTAGTAAGAATATCTGCAGTGTACTTTGTTAATATAATGCCGCGTACTCCGCTACCAATTCGTCAGCAGATTATTAAGCTTCGAAAGAAGGATACTTTAAGTATTGGGTCTATTGCCACTTTGATAAAAAAATTATACCTACTTTTCTGACGAAAACAATGCCGTGCTTAACATTTTGGCCGCAACTGTAAATGCTGATTATTGTCTTTTAGATTTATTCG